CTGAAGATCTGCAAATCAGTTTAATTGCTGCAGTTGTGTTTTGTGTCCTGTAAGCGCTTAATGTAGTTGCAACAGAGTTTATCATTTAGTGTAAAGAGGACACAACTGTATGAGATACCAGGGCTGAAAATACCATTATAAAACAATGCTGGGGGAAGTAAGTCTAATGGAATCTGCTCCTTTCAGCTCTTCAACTCTTCGGAGCAGAGAGCATCTTCGTTACCGTGAAGTCGTGTATAAAACACGGATACTCCAGAGAGCGCCCGAATCCCAGCCTAATCTTCCTGAAACAAGACTACTACAGACAGACTGCCTGTAGGTGCCAGCCTGGTACTACAGAATGGCCAATATGCAAGTCAAGAGCAGGTGGCTTTTTTGTTTTGTTTTTTAAATCAAAGCAACCTCACATCGCACCTGTTTTACTTAAAAAGTAAAAAAAAAATCTCAAGTTTACTCCTGTTCTTACAGATCAAGAGAGGGAGAACTAAGCCATATTGCTGTCATATTAAGTTTCCCACATCTGTTTTTCTCAGAAATACTTCTATTAAAAGATGAGATTTAAATGATCAAAACTGCGTGCTCTGCAAGCACCCCAAGACTTCAGCAGCATAAGCAGCTTCACCCTTCTGCCTCCTTACATGTTCATCACTTTTCTTCACCACTGCAATCAGACTCCTAGAGGGTAACACACTATCAAATAAAACATGACCTAGCGCTTCTATACCAAAACCCAGAGGAGCTGTCCTACCTTCGCTCAAACTAAGAGAACCGTAGAAACAGTATTTTTTATCTTGAGCGTTGCAATATGATGATGCTAACTATAAACAATAGTTTAACATAGAAGAGTTTGTTACAGAAACCTACTAAAAGAGAAGCGGGAAAGGCTTTAATTGGCTGTGATTTTGACACTGCCCTATTTTCCCGAAGGGGTGTGGGGCAAATGGCGTGTGACTGCTGATCTAAAAAGCCATGAGGGAAGGGGGAGTGGATCACATTTTAGAAGCAGTAGGGGTGAAGCCACCTCTACATAAGTAGGTCAGCTACCTGGGGGGAAACTTTTTAATCTACTGGCTTAATTACAAGACAGGGGACTACGCTGGGATAAACAATTAATAGCGAGCCTCATGGGTTAAATTTTGTTAAACAGATTTAGTATTAAGTGGCTACCAAATAGAAGTAAACCTAGCTTAATTTTATTAATACCAAGATAAGAAACAGATGGCATTCATGTTACTATTGGATACCTTGCTTTGTAGCAAAATGCAGATTACAGAAAGTTACCAAGTTCAAAACAAACTTCTTGCTTTTATGTGAGCCAAAAGATAGGGGCATTCATACGAGAGCTACATAAAACGTGTACTTCACAATTCAGAGGTGGCTTACTAGGTACACGTTTAACATTGCTCAATTTTCTGCGTAAAATACAGAATTTTCAAAATGAAAAATTTGTTTCATGTGGTGAAGTGAGCACAAATCCTGTAAAAACAGAAAGGCAGCTTGTGCACTTAGAATTGCACAGACAAATCACTCTGGATGAAAATTCAGAATACAGTTTTTCACATAATTCTGAATTATGTATCGTCCTTCCAGAGCAGAGAGACAACAGAGGTCTACCTCAGCCTGTCAATGAAATCACAGATTTCACCCAAATGCAGCGTTGTACTCAGTTCATTAATTACAGGGGGCAGAGGCAGATGCTGGTAACTTCTGGAAAAGTGAATACGGCTCTTGAAAAACAGCCCAACCAACCAAAAAAAGCCCTAAACCAATACCCTCGAAATTTCTAAAGGCTTTTAAAAACAAGTTGTTATAAAAATAATGATCCAGGAAGTATTTTGTGGTAAGAATATTTTATATTTTTTTTTACACTTTTAACACTTACAAAAACATTCAAACACAAAAATTAAATAACTTTGGAAGCAGAACAAGTCCTTCTGCCTACACACATACAACAATTCCGAGCTGTTGGCACAAAAAGTAATCCACATTCATAAAACCCTTACTACTATATCAAACATAAGTTAAGTAAATCATAGGCACTAGTTTATCAAATCCATATTTCCACACTTCTGCAGTAAATCTCTAAACACAGAGCCCCATGTTTTCCTGATATCGATAAACTGATAATGCACAAAGGCTTTCTAGTAAACGGACGGTCTGTCTTTTCAGGAAGTTGTTCGCTGTATTTCAGGGGGAGAACAGCAGAGAGAAGAATCCTTATAAAACTTAAGCTGAACTTACCCAAGTGATTAATTACTTAACTTAAGGAAAGGTACACAACAGTTTGATGCAGCCATGGTAAAACCCCCAATATCGTCATCTAGACTGACTTACAAAATTTAAAAGTCGGTCAAGTGGTTGATAAAACCCATCAATTAAAATTCACCTTTTTTCAATGAAGACTGCAGCATTGCTTTGTAAAATGCTGAAATGTTAAAATTCGGGCTTTAGTGAGAATATGCACATTTGATCCAGTCCTCTCTTCGCTTAATAGTGACATGAGACAGTGACAGCGAATGACACAAGGCTAGATTAGTGGTATGTACTGGTCTACTGGTGCAAGGCAGTTTCTTTACCCCTGCTGAAATCTTATGGAATTACAGTATATTTGATACCCTGACTTCAATGTCTCAGCACAGATCTTGGTCTGGAGTGTGAAGTCATTCATCAACCCAAAGTTTGCTTGAGTAATTAGAGCTGCAAATTAGTCTCCATTCCTTCCTATTTGGCTTCTTCCAAGTCAAGTAGTATTGCATGGCTTTTTATCCAGGAATATGTGAATGCTGGCCTAAAATTCAAGTGCTGGAATTTCAGGGTTAGTTATCCTCTTAGTGGTGGGAGTCAAAATACACCAGCAGTTCCAAACTCAGATACTAATGGGGTTGAAGGCTACCTACCATCCAATCCAATCTGTAGTGTTCGTCAGTCATTGCACAAAGGATATACCATTCACATTCTCTTACTTCATCAACTGTACATCCAAAATACTGAAAGAGCATCAAACAAAATCCCTTCCATTTAACTAGTCCCAGCCAATACAACTTCAGTTACAAATGTTTGCATGATGTCTTCCAAAACAGAAAACAATGGTTCAAATGCTAATTATATGAATGAGTTTTCTGAGCAAAATGTCTTAGAATAAGTCAGAGCCACCAGAGGAATTTAATAGCTTGTAAACAGACATAGCAGGTTTCATACTCTGTTACCAGTAATGTAAGATACACATATGTAAGGCAAAGTACATATTTAAACACACTTACATGGGCAATATCTTCTGTAAAAATATTTACAATTTAAAATAAACCAATTTAAGAAATGGATGAAAGTAAAAAAATAGGATACAGAAAACTCCCTCATACCACGGAAACATCACCTAAATGAATATCATTTGGCATCAAGAGTCAACTCATTACCTTAAAATTTGTATGTTACAAGTGCATAGTTGTGTTTCCTTCTCCTTAACTATCAGCATTTACAGTTGCTCCAGGCTGCAAGCATAGTAGTATGGTATTAGAACAAATTAACATTACGATTTGCTCTTTCCTTTTTAAGGAAACCTGCTATAAAAAAAGTTTTTCCCAAATAGCGAGCCATGTGATAAAAATGTGGCTACAATAGCAAAGGCCATCTTTCCTGAGCCAGGAACTTTAAGGTTAGAAAGATTGTACAACTGATACTAAGCCCTTTTGGCAATCAAACATAGAAGAGATGTAAAGCTGATAAATCAACACAGGAAAGATGCAATCTACACTATTGCATTTGTGTGTGCCTGCTACATTCAAACCTTTAACGTTAATAAAAGCCATGGCTACTACTTACTGTTCTGCCTAATCCTCCAGAGTCACTTCTGATTCTTTCTGAAGGATGTACGTACCACTTTCCCCAATGAGAATCTCACACAATTATTAAAAGCAATGTTTCACTAGCACTGTAGCAGTCTGCAATCAGAATATTAGCTCTGATTAATGTAGTCTTGTTTCAATAGTACATATTCACCAATCTTGCTGCTGAATTAAAACAGGCTGAAAATGAAGTTTTGGACAATGTAAGTTGACTGTTATACTTGCTGTTTTTCAAGATGGGCATTTCTTTGGCATTCGTTAGGTTTTTGCCCAGACATTGGCCACTGTCATAAATGCTCATATTGATACATTTTTAGCAAGCAAGGAAAAAAAAAAAAAAACCAAACCCAGAACTGATAGCAATTTAATGTAGAAGTGATTGTATGATCACCAAACATCTGATGTTAGATGTCATTAAAGTGCTGCTTTATAATCTCTGCCAGTTTGTGCTAATTAGAGACAGAGAGGTCTGGAATTTTTACAAATCCCAAAAGTCACATCTGAACAGTTTGTATAATCAAGCTGTCTTTTAGCCTGGTGAGGAAGCATCCATGAGCACTGGAACTTTGCATTAAGCTTTGCAGTTCAGTAGCAGCCATCTTTCCAACTCTCATCTTTCACGTTGCCATAGGTTTTGGGAGTGGGTAATGATCTAAAATAAAATGAGATCTTTTTCAGTTTCATACATAACTGCTGGAGTCTCCATCTACAAAACGTAAGATTTTAAACATTTTATAAATAATTGAAACATACACTCATTTACTTCTCTGCAGTTTAGTTTACCTAAGATAAACCCCAAGGTATTTTCAGTTTCAGGTTCTATGTGTTGTATCTTGGCAACTACCATGTCAGAAAAACATCTGCATAAATAGAAAACTTTTTGCTATTATACTCTGTGAGCATACAAACTCAATCTGCTGCCATCTAAAAATAGGCCTTTTTTTTCAGTGACGTATAAACAGCGGAATCCTTGTTTAGAGTATTATATTTTGCTTACATCAAAATCTTGACATTCATAAATATTCATTATTGCATTGTGTACACATACTGCATTATGTACGTAAACTTTCAAAAAAATAGCTGTATAAGTTTAATAAGTGAAACGCTTTTCTATAAGACAAGTTGTGATTTGGACAACCACATTTCACTACTATTAAGAACTTGCTGTCAAAATCAACTGCTTTTTATTACACGAAGTTTTGTACTGCTGACAGTGCAGACTCAGAGTGCAAAACAGTCAATACTGTGACAGTCACTTGTCATTCCCCTGCCCAGCACTCGTCGCAGAACAGAACTTCTCCACTTTGCTATTTACTGCTGTTTCATCTTTTCTACGATACTGAAGACCAACTGTTTATCCTTTCTTTTTAATGGGATTCTTAATATTCCTCATGGATGACTGCTTCTTTACGTCAGCTGGCTTCCACTTGACACCTTCAGTGAAAATCCACATTAGCACGGCATTAAGAACAGATATTCTAAATTATGCATCACTTCCTTCTGATTCTCCTGAAGACAAATTGTCCATGTAGCCCTTCTAGTTAATATTTAGTCTCTCTTGTGGTTGTTTTCCAAAGCATTCTGACATTAAGCAACTCCTACAGCTGGGTGCTAGCACAGAGGTTATGTTTGAGCTCAAAATTCTGTTCTGTCCCGTGGGTTAACTGCATTTATTTTTACGTTACATTTAGCAAAAGCCATGGATGCCTCCTCTGTCCTCATGTGTCTTTCTTCCTAAAGTTTCTGGCTGCCCAAGGTGAGAAACTCTTCTCATTGCAGTACCACTGCTTGACATATGGATTACAAAAGGAACTGCAATACTTCTGACTTCAGAATGCGTCCCTCAGTGGTACAAATGAATTTTCACTTGCCAGCTATATTTTGATGACTTTTTACCACATGCAGACAAATTCTTACTGCCTTCTCAGCCCAGACTAAGACATTTATTTACTTAGTTCATCGTTACTCATTTCACTTTCACTCCTTCACCTTCACTCTAATTCAAGAACCTTTTTCTCTCGGTTTTGCTTAAAAACTATTTTGGAAAACAGTCAAATACTTCACGTGGAGGTCTCCATTTCCATTCCAAATACCTTGAAACCAAAATAAGAGTTGCAGCACAAACACACAATGTACAAAATTCGTTACGAAAACTTCAAATTAAGACTGCCTGTCACATACTCACCTGCGAACAGGCTGTGCAAGTTTGCTACGAGGCACTGGGATGCCCCCTGTAGAAGGGGCACTGGGTCTGGGCAAACCACTCCTCATCCCTGCTGGCCCTGCCGGTCTGGTAAAAGTAGTACTGTTAACACTGCTGGCAGGGCTTGGCAAGCCTGAGCTCTGGGCTGCAAGAGGCCCTGGTGAAGAACTACTGTGTGGCAGCTGTGTGGCTTCTGGAGAAGCGACTGAACTGGGTCCATGGTTACTAAATGCTTTCACTGGTTGTCGGAGAGCTAGGGGAGACGGTGCTGCAGGTGAGCGGAATTTACTTGAAGAAGGTACTGGAAAATAAAACAGAGAAGTTACTTTCAAGCTTAAGTTACAGTATAACTGCAATTAAAATAAGGAAATGACTTTATGTGAAAATTCAAACAATATGGAATGTATAATGGAACACAGCCAATCAAGCAGCAATGAGAAACAGGAATTCAGATGTCCTCTTTTTCATGTGTTTCTGATACCATAACTCTAATGCCCCATTTGCTTACTACAAATACTTATTTACCTAGATCTGTAAGTAATACTAGTAAGGCTCTAAGCATTATCAGTCAAGTCCAAAGAAACAGGAGAATGTATTTGTTAAGAAGAAATTTAGCTGCTTAAAAAACCCATGAACCTAACTCCCATGCCTGAAAGAATGTGTTGAAGAATACAGGATTCTAGTGTGATACAGTCTTTGAATAGATTCAGAGTGTATAATAGCTTTCAGTGATGAAATTCTGAGCACAGAGCATCTTAATGTTTCTTTTACATTCTTCTTTTTAACCAAATCCGTTGAATTAGAATTCACCTAAAGATATGGTCATGTCCCAGATTTATTAGCTGATGGGAAAAAAAAAAGACAGGGTCAGCCAACCCCCAACACCAAAGAGATTAAAGTGCTGCTATGTAACTTAAACCAGACAACTGTAACAATTTATAGCCTTCCTCTTTTTACAAACATTATCTAAATTATCAGTATAACTAATATTTGAATTAAAATACTTTCTATCTGTGTTAGTATACAAAATACAGGTCTTTATCAAGTCCTTCCTGGGAAAGGTTAATAAGCCAGTGAAAATCCATTTAGAGGCTTAAACTTACAATACAGCACATCGTCTGTACAACAAAGTGCATGTGCAGATGTACTCCACCACTGTTTTTGTACAATACAGTTATTTTACTCAATGCTATTCATGCAACAGCAAGAATTCTTATTTATTATATACTCAGGAATTACTTTTGTATTTTAGTAGACAGCTAGCAGTGAATGACAACTGACGCTCACAGTAAAAATATTGACAAAAAGACTATTCAACAGTTCTTTGATAATGCCAAACCTTAAGCACAATTCTTCATGAGTATGTGAAATATTTTCAAAATATGCATAATGTATCCCTAAATAGAATACTTAAACTAATCCATCATCTTAATAATTAAATGGTATCTCACCAGCTTTTCAAACAGATTAGGGTAGGTCAGTAACAGTCGGCAATCAGGAAAGTAAAACAAAATCATGTTTGCATTTAGTGAATTTGCATGAACTATTCTTTCCTCCACTAAATAAACTTTTTTACACAGAGACCAAAGTTGAGTCCTCCTTGACAGATGCTGTACATAAAGAAGATGGTCCTTCACATAGCTTTTATTGTAATTTTACAAGGTAGATCCACTAAGAGCATGAGGAGCGAGAGAAGGGACGAGTAATGACAGGAACGTGACATCCTAACTGGGGTACAGAGGAAATGGTGGTTTTCAGATTATATTTTCAAGCCGTTCTTTATAGGGGATGTCTAGGAAGATTATTGTGTGCCTCACTGCAGATGTGAAGTGGATTTGATTCCTTTCTGGATTATCCAAGAGGGTCTTTCCACTGATAGCTGTATCAAACACAGCACGAAGCCGCTCATGAAAAGCTGACAAAAAAGGTGGCAGAGATGTCAACAATACATGACAGTTGGTAAGTAGCAAGGAGAATAAATAAAGACCCTTAAAATAAAAACCTTGGTGTCAAGCCAGAGGATGGATTAAGGAAAGCATTAACAGCAGAATGACTGGACAAGAAGAGTAGCAAAGTGCTCCTAGGGCTAAGAGAGATATTAGAATTTTTAAAATGTGACATTGCCTGTAACATTGGTGCGATCGAATCTGCAGAACTGCCAAGTGCTTCTACAGTGTAAACATAGGCAGCTTTTTCACTAAACTTCTCCTTACAACACTTGCTTGGAACACAAATACAACATCATGTTAGCAACTGGCCAACAGAGCAATGCCAGTGTATAAAAGCTGAGTTTATCTTTGGGCCTCTTACAGGCACAACAGGGAAAAGGTTTTTACGTACAGAATATAAGCAATGAAAAGTTGTAACTTAAGAAAGCTTGTCACATTCCCAGTGAAAGTAAGCATCCAGTAAATTAGTCCTCTTCATTCTCTCCAGTTTTCTGTTGACCATATTTTACCATGCTTCCAACTTAAGCTGTCAATTCATAAAACGTTTCCTGTCAGCACAGCATTGCAGACATTGCTGAGAGCTGTATTCATTCTTGTACATAAAGCAATGAATTGTCTTCCAGTGTGCTGCGATCTCCAAAACAGTCCACATGATGCAATCTCTGGCAAACTGCCAGAGATTCTGCTCTACTGTCTTAGAGCAGTTTGGGGTATTTAATAAAACTCAGTTTGGCCTATTTGTAAGACAGGATCACAAAGAGTGAGGTACTGCCTTAGTCAAAGACTCTTTGATAATTGTATACCCACATGCAGTATTGAGCTGATCCATGTTTAGTAAAAACACATAACCGTGTAAGGGTAATGCTTAACAACTTTATGCAACTCCGTCTCCTTAGAAACTAAAGAACTAGAACCAACTACAATTAAAACATCTGGTAACAATACAAATAAATGGCACTGTGCAGTCACGACATTTAGGTTTCCCACCCTCTCTGGATTCTGTCCTGGACCGTGGGCAAGGAGCAAGAAAGAGATCCCCACCTGGCAAAGTACGATGCTGTGAAGCTACAACCTTATCTGGCTTAAACCCCAAGGCCAGCTGCTGCACACCAACTTGAAACTAGAATCAATTCCGATGCAGTTGTTAAATCATAACCATCATGATGAGATGATTCAGACTGATACGAAAGAACAGATGAGGTAAAACGATGGAAATCAATAAACTGCTCTGTCATCTCAGTACAAGACAGACATGGACCTGTTGGGGTGGGTCCAGAGGAGGGCCACAAAAACAATCAGATGGCTGGAGCACCTCTCCTGTGAGGGCAGGCTGAGAGAGTTGGGGCTGTTCAGCCTCGAGAAGAGAAGGCTGCGGGGAGACCTTATTGCAGCCTTTCAGTACTTAAAGGGGGCTTATAAGAAAGATGGGGATAGACTTTTTAGTAGGGCCTGTTGTGATGGGACAAGACGTGATGGTTTAAAACTAAAAGAAGGTAGATTCAGACTAGATATAAGGGAAAAATTTTTTACAATGAGGGTGATGAAACACTGGAACAGGTTGCCCAGAGGCTGTAGATGCTCCATCCCTGGAAATATGCAAGGTCAGTTTGGACGGAGCTTTGAGCAACCTGATCTAGTTGAAGATGTCCCTGCTCGTTGCAGGGGGGTTGGATTAGATGACCCAAACCATTCTATGATCTGACTGATACTGGATTGCTGTTTAAGCCTTAACAAATCTGTTACAGTGAGGTAAACAGTTAGTTATTTTAATGTATTTTGAACTGTTTTACACAAAATGGTAAAAAAAAAAGCCAACATCTGTGTGTGAAAGGTGTCAAGCTATGTAATGAACAGTATTTTAACACACTAAACCCAATTGTTGCTCATAGTTGTTTATTCTTTTGAAACAAAAGTTTTGTTTCATTACTGCATAATGCTTCTATACTTGTGAGAATCTCAGATCAGAAGCAAGAAAATCAACACATCAAGGACTATAAAATAGCAAATAACTGAAAAGGAGATGTTGGGTCCTCATCTGTAGTGAGGAATGACTTGCAGTGAGCAACTATAAAATGGGATACGTAACTGGTGGTGCAACATGCCCAGTTCCTCATTCTCTAAGGTTTAATAAAATTTTACAAATAATATAAACTGAAAGAGAAGTTAATTTTCTGTACATTTCCACAGTTCCAGACTAGGCCATTGACCTAGTAAGTGTTCCAGACATCTGGATGAAGGTGAAGGCATGGCCAACTGGAAAGACAGCACAGAAAGCTTTGCAGAGGAACTGACATAGTGGTCTTATGCCAAAGCAGAACGTTGAGAGAACTTTTCTCCATTTGGTACAAAATATTACAAAGACTGTTAAAGACCTCCTATTAAGCCATGTGAATCTGTTTCAAAGTCATTATACTTTGCTAAAACTTTCTGCGTTGAATGAAGTTGACTCAAAGAAGTTAGCATTGTTAAACCACTGAAACACATGCATTTTGTCAGCCTCCCTCAGTATCTGCACAAAGGACTCTCACAATCCTTAAAGGATTCTAGCATATATAGAGCTTATGAATTGGTCTCAAGTGAAAGATGATCTTTAAAATGAGATCTTCTGGATAGTAATAGACAACACGACCAAGTATACTTCAAACCAAAATCATGAACTTGTTTTATCTCAGTGAAATTGAGGCAGTGTCACATACAAGGCTGCCAGAATTAATTAAAAATCAGTCAGAACTTGTCTAATTGGATTAGAGACGCAATATATTTCATTTTCTTCTCAAAAAGAACCCAACTTCAGCTGTTAGCAAACTGGAATATTATATACAATAGTCTCTTAATTCCTTGAGAAAAAATACAAATCTAAATTACTGTATGTTGGGGTTAATCTTCCAGTTTTTGAGAGGAAAAGAGAAAGCGCAAGCATATGTGCATGTATGCGCAAAACAAGTCAATATTCTAGGCTCATTTTTTCAAAGATAAATTCGTTTGCTTTTGTTTCCAGCACAAAGGATGATATTTTCACTTGTCTGCATATTTTTTCACAATCAAAAAAAGAAAATTTTTACAACTTTTGTTTTGAAAAAACTGTATTTTAAAATTCCTGTCCAAATGTAGCCCTAATGAATATGGATTCAGCAGTCTACTTTTCTAATGCAGATTTCCTGATTAATGCTAGAAGTCACCAATCCTTGGATTTTATCTCAAAATCCAATTTAATACTTTAATACTTTTTTTCCTACACGATGCAGGTTTGGTTTTTTAATGTTTTGACCAAAACATTACATACTTTGATACAGCAAGGACCACTTGGTTAATCTCGACATGCAACAGTGATTTTATTAATCTAGAATGTGTG